TCAAATAATTTAACAAAGAATGTCTTTTAAAAAATGAGTTATCTCCCTTTGTACAGAAATATGGTTTAACATAGTACTCTAACATTACATATGGTCCAGAGTTATGGTCCATAACTCTGGACTAAATCATCAGACCGGAACAAAATTCGAAATGATCTATAACTTGTCATGATAAAACTATATACCAAATATCAAATCAATATCTTCAAGAACGAAGAAAAAAAGTGTGGAAAGCTGATTTGCCGGACTGACGGATGGACAGACGGACTGACGGACAGACGGACGGAGTGCAAACCTAATGTCCCCTTCGACTTCGTCGGTAGGGGACTAATAAGAACTGAGCAAAATACAATAAGTCTCCAAACTTTGTTTGGGAGACTTAATAACAAATAGTATATACGAATTTTGTTATAGTCCGATTTTGTAATAGGCAGAGTTTGTTATAGTCCCAGTCTGTTTTGGGCCGAAATGAGATACCAGGTTGCTTTCAATACACTGGGGCTTTGACGTCTTTAAAAATCATTTGTAATAATCGTAGTAAAAATAGCGTCGAAAAATGTTCATTCATGAAATATCTAAAACACGGTATTTATTTTCTCTTCAACCGGAGGACGGGAGGAAACCCCTGAAACCGGGATCATTGTACTCCCATCGGGAGGTACACAAATAGGGATCTCACGAATGTCTGAGGAATACCAATAAAAGCATAACGTAGAAACTGCTGTCTCGTGTAGATGTGTATTGATTTTAATTTCTGCACAGCACAGATCTGCAAAGTAGTGTTTGTGATAGCGATTTTCAAAATGAAGTTGAATTCATTTGAATTATCGATGAACATTCAGTACATTTTAATTCATGGGTTTCCTCCCGTCCTCTGGTTGAAGAGAAAATAAATACCGTGTTTAAGATATTTTATGAATGAACATTTTTTGACGCTATTTTTATTACGATTATTACAAATGTTAATTAAAGACGTCAAAGCCCCAGTGTATTGAAAGTAACCTGGTATCTCATCACAAGCTGTAAGCTAATCAAAATAAAAGTAACTCAAAATTTCAAAAGCATATTCCTAGAATTAGTATTCAAACACTAGTACTGCATTATCTAGGAGTAAAACACTTGCGATAGTCTGTCCAACTTCCGGTTTGAGGCCAATGCCTTAGGAAAGTATATTGCTATAGCAAGCTATAGCAAACTTTCCAAAAACTGCATTTTACCCAATATGTTCTATTTTTAGCCATGGCGGCCATGTTGGTTTGCAGGCAGGGTCGTCGAAAACATTTTTTAAATCAGATGCCCTAATGATGATTGTGGCTAACTTTTGTTAAATTTAGCCCAGTAGTTTCAGAGGAGAAGATTTTTGTAAAAGTTAACGACGACGGACGACCGACGCCAAGTGATGAGAAAAGCTCACTTGGCCTTTCAGGCCAGGTGAGCTAAAAAGGAACAAAATTTTTAAAGCAATTGAGGTTTCATCTAGCAAACTGACATTTTAGCGATATTTGGACTCACTCAGATTTTCTGATGAAACAAGAGTGCACAAGCTGAAATGTCTCGCCTGTTTTACTGACCATTGATTTTATGTTGAAAGTCTTAAAGATAAAGGTTTTACTACAAGTATCTAATAAACTTAACATACTTAATGATCCTTGACAATTAATGAGGTCAAGGTCAGATAAAACTGTCACACAGACATGTACACCTTACAATTATTCCATACACCATATACAGTTGACCCATTGGTTATGGTAATGGAAAAAAACAGACCAAAACACAAAAACTTAATGTTAACCAATGAACCATGGAAATGAGGTCAAGTCAGATGATACTGGCTAGACAGACATGTACACTTTACAATCATTCCATACACTAATTATAGTTTACCTTTTGCTATTCGTATTTGAAAAACAGACCAAAACACAAAAATTAACATTGACCAATGAACCATGAAAATGAGGTCAAGGTCAGATGACACCAGCTAGACAGACATGTACACCTTACAATCATTCCATACACCACATATAGTTGACCTATTGCTTACAGTACTTGAAAAACAGACCAAAACACAAAAAATTAACAATGACCAATGAACCATGAAAATGAGGTCAAGGTCAGATGAAACCTGCTAGGCTGACATGTACCCTTACAATCATTCCATACACCACATATAGTTGACCTGCTGCTTGTAGTATCTGAGAAACAGACCTAATCACGTAACTTTAAACTTGATCACTGATCCATGAATTGCGGTCAAGGTCAGGTTAACCCTGTCTGACGGACATGTAGACGTTGCAAGGAACCCATATATTAAATATAGTTATCCTATTACTCATAATAAGTGAGAAATTCACATGACAAAAAAACTGTAATTTTTTTTCAAGCAGTCACTGAACCATGAAAATGAGGTCAAGAACAATGGGCATATGACAGACGGAAACTTCGTAACATAAGGTATCTGCATACAAGGTATGAAACATCCAGGTCTTCTACCTTCTGAAATATAAAGCTTTATACAAATAGTTTACACCGCCGCCAACACCGGATTGCAATATCTATGTCTCACATACTGCAACTATCGTAGCAGGCAAGACAAAAATAACCTTTTCTTTTTGTTTAACTCCACCACCATTTTAGACTTCTCTTAAGGGTTAGCCATTTAGCATATTAAACCATAATTTTGAAATGTAAATCTTTAATTTATCATTTCTTTTAAGTTTTGTTGTGATTTGAACTTTTCCTTAAATTTTTTTTTAATTTCCAGTGTCTGCCACAGTCATGATAAGGCAATGAGTATCAATTATAATTCTGACATGCTTCCTGAGTTTTTAGATTGTTTTTAAATGAATTTTTAATTTTCAGAAATGTTATCAGCCATCTTTCATGGCATTATGTATACTCCCCCTATATATGTGTGGTTCATTTGTATGCCATTTCCCATAGTTTGGTAATATGTCATCCTTTTCACAAATTGTCATCTTATTCAAAGATGTTTCAGGGCAAACTTCTTTTAAAGCAAAGTAATACTACATTTGTATTTCAGATTTTTATAAAAAAATTATTTGCATTTAGAACTGTATCTAAAACAAATTTAATATGCCCATTATGGACATTTCAAGTCATAAAGGCATGAAATAGCTTCTTAGCTTTATTTTTTATGGAACACAACTTTATTACAAATCACTAGTGTATATAAACTGTTAACACACAGATATGTCTCGCCTATTTGTTATTTTGAAATTATGTTGTGTAGTTTCAGAGGAGTTGCGATGACAAACTGTTGCAGTAGTATATTGAGGCCAATAAGTGCAATGGGGAATAACTCCTAGAAAATTAAATCATAATATGTACTTCTAAATAGTATGTACTTATTATTATCTACAAAGTTTCATGAAATTCTGTTTTGTAGTTTCAGAGGAGTTGCGATGACAAACTGTTGCAGTAGTATATTGAGGCCAATAAGTGCAAAGGGGCATGACTCCTAGAAAAAAAATGAATCATAATTTCCTGTCAATATGCACATCTACAAAGTATATCCTTATTATCTACAAAGTTTCATGAAATTCTGTTGTGTGGTTTCAGAGGAGTTGCGATGACAAGAACAGGACCGACAGACTGTAGTATATTGAGGCCAATAAGTTCGAAGGGGCATAACTCCTAGAAAAAAACTGAATCATAATTTCCTGCCGATATTCACATCTACATAGTATGTCCTTATTATCTACAAAGTTTCATGAAATTCTGTTGTGTAGTTTTAGAGGAGTTGAGATGACAAACTGTTGCAGTAGTATATTGAGGCCAATAAGTGCAAAGGGGCTTAACTCCTAGAAAAAATAAACTGTTAACACAGAGATATGTCTCCCCTATTTGTTATTTTGATAATGCAAATGTTGAAATTAAAATAGCAAAACTTTAACATGTAAGTTATGCAAATATTCAAAGTCAATGAACCATGACTGAAGGTACAGGGCTAAACAATCTCCATGGAAATGAGATGTGCCAATGCTAATACAACTGTAAACCAAATACTATTGACTTTTCATAAGTCGTTCTCTTTAAACAAACCTAAACACAAACAATAACTTGTAAACTATGTAAAAGTTTCAAAGTCAATGAACCATAATTAGGAGGTGGGGTTATATAATCTCCATGGAAATGAAACTTGTAAATGCCAATACATTTGCATACTGAATATCATTGACTTAACATTAGTGGTTCATCTTAAACTGACCTAATCACAAACTAATACATGTAAACTAAGCAAAAGTTTCAAAGTCAATAGACCATGACTGAGGGGTAAGGACCAAATATTCTCCATGGAAATGAGATGTGCTAACGCTTATACAACTGCATATCAATTATCATTGACCTACCACTAAGGATTCCCCTTAAACTGACCTAATCACAAACTAATAAATGAAAACTAATCAAAAGTTTCAAAGTCAATAGACCATGAATGAGGGGGCGGGGCCAAATAATCTCCATAAAAATGAGATATGCCAATGCTTATACAACTGCATACCAAATATCATTGACCTACCACTAGTGGTTCGACATAAACACTAATACATGTAAACAAAGCAAAGTTTCAAAGTCAATAGACCTTGACTGAGGGGGCGGGGCCAAATAATCTCCATGGTAATGAGATGTGCCAATGCTAATACAACTGCATACCAAATATCATTGACCTACCACTAGTGGTTCACCATGAACTAGACCTAATCACAAACTAATACATTGTTGACACCACCGCCGACGCTGGAAACAGCATACCTATGTCTTGCTTTTTGACTCCGTCAAGGCGAGGCAAAAAATTAAGATAATCCATGATCTTAAAGAGCTTTTGAGATGTTGGTCAAGATGCAAACAGATGTGCACGCTGAAGGTTATTCAAAAGTCCTTTCTAATCTATATACCGGTATTTGATTAGTGGCAGTAAACACAATTATACGACTTTCTATTAAATTTGAAATATGAAAAATTTGTAATGTGTAAATACATACAGAAGACAGTACAAAATTGAGTATTGCAGTTCCTCCTCCAAACACCAGTGACAAAGTAGCGGTTAAAAGGTTAAATACCAGGTTCATGTTACCTTTCAGGACTAACCATATTGATTCTAATACCTACAAATATAGAAAATATACAATAATACCATTCATCATGGACTGTTAATTTAGAAATTTTGGAAATGGTTTTATCCATACGACTATAGCATTGCGCAAAATTAAAATCTTGCATTTTAAATTTTGATAGCATTAATTCTTTGCAGCATTTTTTTTTTCTCAATTTTTCAACAATCCCAATAATAGATGCACACACAAATTTCCCAATTTTCAGTATGAAATAAATCTAAACATAAATATTGTGGTGATATTTGTTATGCTATAGAGAAGCTAATATCCCTTTTGACATATTTTATAAATTTCAAAGAGAAATGTTGGCTAGAGAGAGCTTACAATGTTGATTTTACATATCATTTATATTTCCAAGGGGTATAATCTACCCAAAATTTTTTGAGCAGCACTGATTTTTAAGATGTAGATAATGTAAACATCTATACGTTTAACTTAATTTGTAGGTCTTATTATCTTTCTGATCATTTTTGCTGTTTACAGTTTCTCTCTATCTTTAATAGTTTTCAAAATAACAAGAAATGATTGTAACAGGATGCTGTTACGAAGTCTCCCAAACGAAGCTCCCATAATTCGTAATTCCCAGGGTCGCCTGACATTGGGCAACGTCTAGTGAAAATTGGTTTATTCCAGTAAAGTTATATGCATTAGTGATGCCTGGGGAATAACCTTGTATATCATTCAAATCATCTTGGCATGACAAACCAGAATATATATGGTTTAGGGGTGGGGATCTCGACCATTTACAAGATACTAGAACATTGGGGGTGGGGAGGAACCCCTGGGGACTGGCCCTTTACGTCATTCAAATGTTCATTACATGACGAACAGGAATATATATGGTTTAGGGGTGGGGATCTCAACCATTTACAAGATATTAGAACATTGGGGGTGGGGGGAACCCCTGGGGACTGACTGTATACGTCATTCAAATGTTCGAGACATGACAAATAGGAATATATATGGTTTAGGGGTGGGGATCTCAACCATTTACAAGATATTAGAACTTTCTCAAATGGCAGGGGGTCGAAATGACCCCTGGGGACTAACCCTGTATATCATTCAAACCATCTTCGCATGACAAACCAGAATATATATGGTTTAGGGGTGGGGATCTTGACCACTTAGAAGATATTAGAACTTTCTTAAATGGCAGGGGGTGGGGGTGACCCCTGGGGACTAACCCTGTATTTCATTTGATGTGCTTTATCATGACAAACCAGAATATATATGGTTTAGGGGTGGGGATCTCGACCATTTACAAGATATTAGAACTTTCTCAAATGGCAGGGGGTCGGGATGACCCCTGGGGACTAACCCTGTATATCATTCAAACCATCTTAACATGACAAACCAGAATATATATGGTTTAGGGGTGGGGATCTTGACCACCTACAAGGTATAAGAACTTTCTTAAATGGCAGGGGGTGGGGGTGACCCCTGGGGACTAACCCTGTATTTCATCTGATGTGCTTTATCATGACAAACCAGAATATATATAGTTTAGGGGTGGAGATCTCGACCATTTACAAGATATTAGAACTTTCTCAAATGGCAGGGGGTTGGGATGACCCCTGGGGACTAACCCTGTATATCATTCAAACCATCTTAGCATGACAAACCAGAATATATATGGTTTAGGGGTGGGGATCTTGACCACTTAGAAGATATTAGAACTTTCTTAAATGGCAGGGGGTGGGGGTGACCCCTGTGGACTAACCCTGTATTTCATTTGATGTGCTTTATCATGACAAACCAGAATATATATGGTTTAGGGTTGGGGATCTCGACCATTTACAAGATATTAGAACTTTCTCAAATGGCAGGGGGTGGGGTTGACCCCTGGGAACTAACCCTGTATTTCATTTGATGTGCTTTATCATGACAAACCAGAATATATATAGTTTAGGGGTGGGGATCTCGACCATTTACAAGATATTAGAACTTTCTTAAATGGCAGGGGGTCGGGATGACCCCTGGGGAATAACCCTGTATATCATTCAAACCATCTTAGCATGACAAACCAGAATATATATGGTTTAGGGGTGGGGATCTTGACCACTTAGAAGATATTAGAACTTTCTTAAATGGCAGGGGGTGGGGGTGACCCCTGGGGACTAACCCTGTATTTCATCTGATGTGCTTTATCATGACAAACCAGAATATATATGGTTTAGGGGTGGGGATCTCGACCATTTACAAGATATTAGAACTTTCTCAAATGGCAGGGGGTTGGGATGACCCCTGGGGACTAACCCTGTATATCATTCAAACCATCTTAGCATGACAAACCAGAATATATATGGTTTAGGGGTGGGGATCTTGACCACTTACAAGGTATTAGAACTTTCTTAAATGGCAGGGGGTGGGGGTGACCCCTGGGGACTAACCCTGTATTTCATTTAATGGGCTTTATCATTTAGAACATTTTCAATTAAAAAGATTGTGTCTATCACAAACGGTTTTCAATTTATAATCATTTGAAAATTTTTAAAAATTAAATCCCATAGGGTTCTATAGTAAAACCCTCTTTTCTTTTTGCCCCTCAAAGTACCCCTTTATAAACCCCATTGCAAAAACAAAACCCTGATTGCACCACTAGACATGTTAGTCTAACATATTGTGAAACCCTAAGTTAATCTGACAAGCGGTTTTGGAGAACGGGTGCGGACAAGTTCAAATTTAAAAGCGGCGGAAGAAGAAGAAGAAGAAGAAGAAGAAGAAGAAGAAGAAGAAGAAGAAGAAGAAGAAGAAGAAGAAGAAGAAGAAGAAGAAGAATAATAATAATAATAAGAACTGAGCAAAAACAATAAGTCTTCCCAAACTTCGTTTGGGAGACTTAATAATTACCAAAAACACTATAAATTGGTAAAAGTTGATATTTAATTAAAGTCAATAACTCCAATACAGAGTCAATTGACAATTTCTGTCATGTTGATCTATTTAGAGGTCTTATCTTGCTGATAACTTTTGCAATTTCCACTTTCTTTTTATCTATTATAGTTCTCAATTTGTAAATTGACGATTTCAGATATGTTGACTTATTCATAGATCTATTTTTTTTACCATGTTTACTGTTATAATTTCTCTCGATTTTCTGTTTGTTGACCATGTTTGCTATCATAGTTTCTCAAAAAAACAAACACTAAAAATTGGTAAAAATTGTCTTTCATTGACAATAACTCCTGTAAGGAGTTGTCAGATAATTTTGGTAACAGTAGAAAGTCGGTAGATTTTCTCGTTCTATTATAAGTTTCAAGACATTAGACAACTAATTGCATTTACTATCATGTTCTATTTCAAGCCGGACAACAGATGCAACATGAACTAATAAACTGTTGACACAGAGATCTGTCTCGCCTGTCAGCATTAAATTCAGAAAAAGACAATCTGATGGACAGCAACATTACTTATTAATTCAGTCGCTGGACCATGAACTAGTGGGCAGGGCCTGAAAATGGTCTACAAACTGAAATGTGAAGACAGTAATATTACTTTATAGAAAGTATCGTTGTCTACTGTATGTAGTTCCTATCAATCTTACTTAAGCAGAAAACTTAACATTGAAAATTGCTTATTAATTCAAAGTCACTGGACCATATCCTAGGGTGCAGGGCCTCAAAATAGTTGTCAAAGTGATATGTACTGATAGTAATGCAACTTCATACAAAATATCATTGATGTATCACAAGTAGATCCTATCAAACTAATTTGAGCAGAAAACTTAACATTGAAAATTGCTAATCAATTCAAAGTCACTGGACCATGACCTAGGGGGCAGCGCCTCAAAATAGTCATCAAACTGATTTAGATAGGAAATATGTCTTTCTGTTAGTAATTTACGTTCTTGCTTTCTATTCATGACATCACAAATAGCATTCATTTTAATTTTCCACAATTAATTCAATGAAAACGGATAAATTTCCATTGATTTTTTTGGACAGGAAACATAGAGAGCATGTGTCAACAACAAAGATCTTTTCACAAAATGTTTGTTTTAACATTTTACATATCTGACTTGAATATTTAGTTTGTTGACGCCTGCACTCCAGTTTCCTAGGCCTTAATTTGGTTGAAATCCAGACAATTTTGTCAAAATCCCTATTCTCGGTCTATTTTGGATGCAAAAAACATGGACAAAAAAGTTCTATTTAACTTTCTAACATGTCTTTTCATCAGCTTAGAACATTTTTTATCTTGAAACATTGAACTTAATAATCAGGCCCAAATATTGCCCTTACCAAACTTACTCCTTTGCAGGTATCTATTTTTTTTTTAATTTAATCATATTTCTATTCATATGAACAAAATATGTGGGATATAAACAATAAGACAGCAACCCATTTACAAAATAGTCAATAAGCTTTTCAGTTATTATGCGATTGAATTTTATAATGTACCTACTCATATTTATAATATATTGTTTCCATTACAAATAGATTAAAAAAAGGACAAACTTGATGAATATGAGAAAATTGTCAAGCTTTCAGATCATCGGTTTATAAATCTTAAATGACATAAAGTGTTGAAATTTGACTCACCGACATAAATGTGCCAATATTTTCCTTCACAAAAGGAATTACTTGTCCAAGATTGAAACGGTCACCATTAGTAACAAATTCCCATAGGGACTGTAAATTCATGAAGTCTGCTGGAATAACCTGAAACTCAGTGGTCATCTGCTGTGTGTTACTACTAGCATTCTGTAAAATAAAATCATTTTACCGTTTACCTCAGCTAAGGGACACAACTCTTAAAAATCTACGGTATGCTAGTGTCAACTATTTTCATAGATCATTTGATTCTGTTTCACATGAATGGTTAAAAAAGTATTGATGAAGGTGACTATTACAAACATTACTGTTTTGAAGAGTTTTTTTCCTTTACACCAGCCCTTCCACTTAGGTTGCTGGCATATTGATTGATTTATTATTTTGTTCTTTGGTATCATCAACATACAAAAATTACAGAGCTGAAACATTAAGAAAATACAAGTATTTACACATTGTAACACATTTACATATGATGCAAAAATACTTATAAGAATAGTGGACACCATATTTGGAAATTCCATATTTGCATATATCAGTATTTGTTTACATACATAATCTTTGAAATACTTCTATCTGCCTATAATGTGGGATGAGACAGGTATGGCAAAATAAGTGATGTACACCGTTAATAAAATATTGTTAGTCTAAGTGCCTTAATTCAGTAAAAAGATGTTCATCAGAAATGAAACAAGAGTGCACACGCTGAAATGTCTCGCCTTCTTTACTAATCATTGATATTATGTTGATATTCCTAAATATAAAGCTTTATTACAACTTTCACATAAACTTAACATTAACCAAATAAACTAAACATTGACCAATGAACCATGAAAATGAGGTCAAGGTCAGATGAACCATGCTAGGCAGGCATGTACAGCTAACAATTCCTCCATACAACAAATATAGTTGACCTATTGCTTATAGTTTAAGAAAAACAGACCAAAACACAAAAACTTAACACTGAGCAATGAACCTTGAAAATGAGGTCAAGGTCAAATAAAACCTGTGAGACTAACATATAGATAATAAAATATTTCCATACACCAAATATAGTTGAACTATTGCATATAGTATTAGAAGAAAGACCAAAACTCAAAAAACTTAACTTTGACCACTGAACCATGAAAATGAGGTCAAGGTCAGATGACACCTGCCAGCTAGACATGTACACCTTACAATCATTCCATACACCAAATATAGTAGACCTATTGCATACAGTATAAGAAAAACAGACCAAAACACAAAAACTTAACTATAACCACAGAACCATGAAAATGAGGTGAAGGTCAGATGACACCTGCCAGTTGGACATGTACACCTTACAGTCCTTCCATACACCGAATATACTAGACCTATTGCTTATAGTATCTGAGATATTGACTTGACCACCAAAACTTTACCTTGTTCACTGATCCATGAAATGAGGTCAAGGTCAAGTGAAAACTGTCTGACGGGCATGAGGACCTTGCAAGGTATGCACATACCAAATATAGTTATCCTATCACTTATAATAAGAGAGAATTTAACATTACAAAAAATCTTAACTTTTTTTTCAAGTAAATTTTTTTTCATGAAAATGAGGTCAAGGACATTGGAAATGTGACTGACAGAAACTTCGTAACATGAGGCATCCATATACAAAGTATGAAGCATCCAAATCTTCCACCTTCTAAAATATAAAGCTTTTAAGAAGTTAGCTAACGCTGCCGCCGCCGGATCACTATCCCTATGTTGAGCTTTCTGCGACAAAAGTCGCAGGCTCGACAATAAAACCATCAATATATGCTTATACGCAAAAGATCAGCTCAATAGGCATAAGGGAAAAAGTCCAGACAACTGTTGATTTTGGCAATGATGAAGTGAAGGGATGGAAAGATGAAAGGGCAGACATAATTAACACTATATGTCCCTCCCAATAAAATCTCACAGCAAATATATTCAAGTGTTAAAGATTTGTAATAACTAATAATAACTATAGGCTTTTCTGGGAGGAGTTTCTTCTGTCATTTTCAGAAGGCAGCATTTTAAAAAACGTTTCTGATCAGCCATAAATATCCTTCACTTTGTCTCTGTATAAATAATTACATTACCTTTTATCTAAACAAAATTACCTTGGAATACATTGCTTTGTTCTGTGCTTGTTCACTAATAAATTCTTAAATTAGTCTAAGCTCTTCTTGTTTATAAAAAATAGATATTAAAGAATACTCTCCAAAGTTACATTATTCACCATAACCATCATACATCGTTGTCCAGTGTTGGTAGTAAATAAAAGGTCATAAAATTAATAAAATACTTAATGGTATTAATTTATACAAAAGCCATGCCATAAATTTTTTTATTTTACTTATTTTATCAAAATGACTGTCCTGTCTTATTTTCCTGTATATATCAAAACATTTTAATAGTTTTGCGGACTGTCAATCCATTCATTTTTCTTTTTCCAAATTTAATATTTTCTTCAATAGAAAAGTGTAAATGTTACCATTTTGCTATTGCTATTTCTGTTCAAAATGAATACTGAATTAACAAGAAAGTAATACACTCATCATAGATACCAGGATTAAACTTTTGTATGCCTCACACACTTTTAGTCTACCAAAGACTCATCAGTAACGCTCGATTCAAAAAAGGCCAAATAAAGTACGAAGTTGAAGAGCAATGATATATATAATGAAAGTTAAAACTTGATTTTCTATGGCTATATATCTATACTTAATATTAAAAAGTCTACTTAAGAACAGAAATGACAGATTATTATTTAGACAGCTGTAATGAAATTATAGTGATAATAATAAAAAGTGCTTTAGATACGAAGAAAAGAAAGATTAAAAATACTACACTACACACTGGACATGATGTTTTCACCACATCTCACCACAAACTTTCAAATCTTACCGCTCGGTATAACCAAAGTCTTGTATCTGAAATCTGTTATTACATAAGGACAAAGTTAATAAACTGTTTACACAGAGATATGTCTCGCCTTTTTTGTAATTTTGATAATGCAAATGTTGAAATTAAAATAGCAATACTTTAACATGTAAGTTATGCAAATATACAAAGTCAATGAACCATGACTGAAGGTACATGGCTAAACAATCTCCATGGAAATGAGATGTGCCAATGCTAATACAACTGCATACCAAATACCATTGACTTATCATAAGTCGTTCCCTTTAAACAAACCTAAACACAAACATTAACTTGTAAACTATGTAAAAGTTTCAAAGTCAATGAACCATGATGAGGGGGTGGGGCTATATAATCTCCATGGAAATGAGACTAGCAAATGCCAATAAATTTGCATACTTAATATCATTGACTTAACATTAGTGGTTCATCTTATCACAAACTAATACATATAAACTAAGCAAAAGTTTCAAAGTCAATAGACCATGACTGAGGGGGCGGGCCAAATATTCTCCATGGAAATGAGATGAGCTAATGCTTATACAACTGCATACCAATTAACATTGGCCTTCCACTAATGGTTCCCCTTGAACTGACCTAATCACAAACTAATACATGTAAACTAAGCAAAAGTTTTAAAGTCAATAGACCATGACTGAGGGGGCGGGGCCAAATAATCTCCAAGGAAATGATATATGCCAATGCTTATAAGACTGCATACCAAATATCATTGACCTACCACTAGTGGTTCCCCATAAACTGACCTAATCACAAACTTATACATGTAAACTAAGCAAAAGTTTCAAAGTCAATAGACCATGACAGAGGGGGCAGGGCCAAATAAACTACATGGAAATAAGATGTGCCAATGCTAATACAACTCATACCAAATATCATTGACCTTCCACTAGTGGTTCACCATAAACTAGACCTAATCACATACTTATACATTGTTGACGCCGACACCGGAAACAGCATACCTATGTCTCGCTTTTTGACTCTGTCAAAGCGAGACAAAAAACATGCAACTACCTATAACTATCTACAACTATATTTACCACTACTTTTTGTAGTTATTTTTAACTAAACTGTTAAACTTTAATAAAGAATACAATTTTACTACATTGAAGCAAAATGTCAAGTACATGTACTGCATCAAAGTATACATTTTTGGTACCCTTAATTTCACATATTTCAAATATCTTAAGAATTCATACTATCATTGTTCATTTCATTGCCATAAAAATTATAATTTTTTTAATTTAAGTCCACAAGATATAAGTATTTCATTTCATCATATGGTTATCATGTTAATAAGTATATACTAAGATGGGACAAAGAAAGGTTTATGCTTCAACTAAAAAATGTCAAGGTTGCAGCTTTTTGTAACATTATTTTTAAGATATTTGATAAAACCTAAATGTGTATTTTTCTAGACCCACTTAGTAGAATGAACCAAAAGGAGGGAAGTCTGTTACATACCTATGAGACAAGACAATCCTGAAATTCTGATATTATTCATAATTTTTGTTTTTGTTTTACAATGCTTTTTGAATTGGGTGTTTCAATAAATATACAAGTAATCTTAAAGTTCTAACATATATATTTGAAGAATTTAAAATATGTATACAAAAAAACAAACTATTCCAATGTATTACATATTGGTAAAAGAATCATAGAAAAGATAGTTAATGTGGAAATGAAATACCAATTTGTGGAACACTGATGGTACTTTATTTTACTTTCAAATTTAAATCAATGTCAATCTGATAGCAAAAAAAAAAAAAATGAATTATTTTGATGATTATCCAAAAACTAATACTTTTGCAGTAAAAGCTTAGAAAATCCATATGTACATAATCACCACAAGATATACTTCAAACTTACATTGGAGCTATTCTAAAATAAAAAAATACATGAAAAATAACTTAATGAATATTTCCCTAGCATTCAGTTGTATAAAATAGGAAGATAAATAATACACAAACATATGTAGCATAATTTAAAAAAAAGTGGGGTTTAGGACTGAAGACACTATCAATGAATTGAATTCTAATTTAAACATTTTGATATTAACATATAACAACCAAGCATAAAGCTAATCTAAACATTGCATACAAACATGTTAATTGTATCCTAGTAATTCAAACAATCAGTTGAAAGAAAGCAGATATCTAATTTTGCTACAAAAATTAATAATTTTGAAACATATTTTGAACGAACAGTTTATTTGGTTGATGTCCAGTGAGTCTGAAAATGTTAATATGTCAGTGCCAAGATTTATTAGTACTTGTTTTGAAATAAGAGAAAATTTGCATTCCATAAAATAAATATCCATGTAGTAGTGATGTAGTTTATGTTTTATGTATTAGAGAGGGTTAATATTGTATTTTATTTATTTTCAAACACCATCTGATATGGAGTATAGTTATTTATTCATTTATTTTCAATGTAATACATCTTAAAAATTACTGTCTAATTAATACTATATATATATATATGTATATGCTCGGAAACGGGCCCTTTAATTGGATTCAATAAAATATTCTTATTCTTATTGTGGGTGGAAAATGTGGAAGGCATGAAAGTGCAAAAAATATTTACATGAGAGGAGCACTTCATACAGTCAAACACCTTGCTAAATTATTTAGTTGGTACTGGCATGTGGTCTATATTTGCAGATCTAAAGACCATTTGAAAAATTGACAAAAATATATGTATACCTGTATATCTATTTCATGATCTTACATTTAACTATAAATTGATATTTGCAAACATAGAAAAACAGTTACCATTAAGTTTTACAAATAATGAATCATTTATTGAAAATTTATGGCAAAGTTTTACAAGAGAAAAATTCCAATGATATATTAATTTATGAACATACAACATAAAACATATTTATTGAAGTCTTTCATAAAAGACTTATTTATATAAGGCTAAAAATAATTACACCCTCTTCCTCCATTTTTCTCATTATACACAATAAACAGCTTTGTCATGAGCACATCATATCATATGTCATATCATATGTCCATCCCCCTTATTTGGACAATAAAAGTCCCATTAACTCAATAACAACAAACAAGTTGGTAATTTTTGCAGCTTGTAAATTTGTTAACTAATGCATATGATAAGGTGAAAAAGAATGGACTTTGCATAAGATACACCAAAAACTAGTTACAATTGAAAATATTAAAGAGAAACTGTTTTTAAGAAACCAAACATAGTATACCAATTTCATAAAAATCCAAGGTCAACTTCAGTTATCATATTTCAATTAAAAAGAAATAACATTGGAAGTACATTGGAAGTACAAATCTAAAAATCTTAAAAGTCAAACCAGACTTTGCCTTTTTGGAACAAAAAACAGTGAATAAATTACATGATTCAATAAAGTAAACTGAACTTAACCAGGGAAGTGTTCCAAATTGTCAAATTTTTAACAAATAAAGTTTCATATTTCTTACAATGCCATATATCTGAAGATCCTCAAAACCAAGAGAGAACATGCCTGTACAGAAACACATTTTGTAAAAACTCCTTAAAGGCTAAATAAGTCAAACTTGAGTTATCATGACATATACATGTTTTGTACTTCAAATTGTTGTTGTCTACATACATATCAAAATCACTTGAAGTTAGTATCAAATTCTACGACTACATTGCCAATTTTCCACTGACCTGAGTCCTAAAAATGGATCTGCTCTCAATAGAGCTGTAACACACTGCAAAAACAGTTTTTTCTTGTTGGTTGTAGGGTGTTTATAAAAATTTTACAATGGTAACTTATACTGAAGTCTGGTATTTGCAGATCTTAATTGGAGAAATATACTGATAACAATAGTAACAATATACATTTTCTAACAGTACTGTAGTTGAAGAGTTGCCATCATCAATTTTGATTTGACTGTTGCAAATATCCGTTTTAATCTTAATTGCAATGCACAACCAAACTCACTTAATTAACTTGACAAGCAGACTAGCCAGACTTTTGTTGAAGATGTAGGAGAACTCAAACTTCATAACTAACCATAAATTATCCAGGATAAACTGTAAATTAAATAATTTAAGATCACATCAATCTAATAAAATTTGAATTCACCAACTATTCAGCAGCTAGTTCTAGAGAAAACTCAATGGCATTTTTAGGATAAATAATGATAAATATCATAATAGGAGTAATTCATCATGTACAATTAATTTTTGGATATAATAATTAAAATTCTCAAAAATCAAAGAATGAAAACAGCTTCAAAACAGTTGATATACACTGCATAACATGTACAATGTTATATATACATACCCTGGCCAGCCAGTTTTCATACAAATTGTCCCATACTTCTAACACTTGGTTTTCTAGCTGTGTATTATTACTTGTGGCTTTTTCACCGTCTACAAGGTCACGGACCTAAAGTAAAAATACTGGACCTGTATTCTTTACTTTTTTCAATTATGAACTTAATAATGCATTAATATATTATATTTCAGCTTGAAAATATTTTAAAAAGCACTAGTGATAGCTTTTAGAAACTGATATGGACATGTATTTTTGTCAGTTGAGGTGGTTTTTTTACATTAATACATTAATACAATGGAGCTGACAAAAATAATACATTAAGCGATATGCTATGAGTATCTGAACTTCTGAAAAATCCAGTACAGCATACAGCTGCTATTTCAATCTTAATAAAAGAACAGAGTTCCAATGTTCCCCGCATTGCACATTTGCACATATTTGATATTTCCAAGGGGCATAACTCTTTTAAAAAAAGTCGATTGTCCACCATTATAAAACTTGTCCGAGATATTGCTGATATTAACCTATAGTATAAGTTTTATAAAAATCTGGCAAAAATTGTACCTGTGAGAGCGCTAACGAGGCCATTTTCCATAAATTTAATATTTCCAAGGGGCATAACACTTTTAAAAAAAGTCGATCGTCCACCATTATAGAACTTGTCCGAGATATTGCTGATATCAACCTATAGTATAAGTTTTATAACAAGAGTGCACACGCTGAAATGTCTTGCCTTCTTTACTGACCATTGATTTTATGTTGATAGTCCTAAATATAAAGCTTTACAAAAAGTATCACATAAACTTTACATGATCCAAGAAAATGAGTTCAAGATCAGATAAACCAAACCGGAAATACATGTACACCTTACAATCATTCAATTCACCAAATATAGTTGACCTATTGCTTATAGTTTCTAAGAAACAGACTTAAACAGGAAAACTAAACATTGACCAATGAACCATGAAAATAAGGTCAAGGTCAGATGAACCATGCCAGACAAACATGTACACCTTACAATCAATCTATGCATTAAATATAGTTGACCTATTGCTTATAGTATCCAAGAAACAAACTTAACCAGGAAATCTTAACATTGACCAATGAACCATGAAAATGAGGTCAAGGTCAGATGATACCTGCCTTACAGACATATACACCTTACAATCATTCCATACAACAAATATAGTTGACCTATTGGTTATAGTTTAAGAGAAACAGGCCAAATCACAACAAGAGTGCACACGCTGAAATGTCTCGCCTTCTTTACTAATCATTGATATTATGTTGATAGTCCTAAATATAAAGCTTTATTACAACTGTCACATAAAATTAACATTAACCAAGTAAACTAAACATTGACCAATGAACCATGAAAATGAGGTCAATGTCAGATGAACCATGCTAGGCAGGCATGTTCAGCTAACAATTCTTCCATACAACAAATACAGTTGACCTATTGCTTATAGTTTAAGAAAAACAGACCAAAACACAAAAACTTAACAGTGAGCAATGAACCTTGAAAATGAGGTCAAGGTCAAATAAAACCTGCGTGACTGACAAATAGATCATAAAATATTTCCATACACCAAATATAGTTGAAATATTGCATAAAGTATTAGAAAAAAAGACCAAAACTCAAAAACTTAACTTTGACCACTGAACCATGAAAATGAGGTCAAGGTCAGATGACACCTGCCCGCTAGACATGTACACCTTACAATCATTCCATATACCAAATATAGAAGATCTATTGCTTATAGTATCTGATATATGGACTTGACCACGAAAACTTAACCTTGTTCACTGATCCATGAAATGAGGTTGAGGTCAGATGAATATTGTCTGATGGGCATGAGGACCTTGCAAGGTAAGCACATTTTAAATATATTTATCCTATTACTCATAATAAGAGAGAAATTAACATTACAAAAAATCTTAACTTTTTTTTCAAGTTGTCACTGAAGCATGAAAATGAGGTCAAGGACAATGGACATATGACAGACGGAAACTTCATAACATAAGGCATCTATATACAAAGTATGAAGCATCTAGGTCTTCCACCTTGGAAAATATAAAGCTTTTAAGAAGTTAGCTAACGGCGCTGCCGCAGCCGGATCACTATCCCTATGTCGAGCTTTCTGCGACAAAAATCTGGCAAGAATTGTACCCGTGAGAGCGCTAACGAGGCCATTTTCCATAAATTTAATATTTCTGAGGGCATAACTCTATTAAAAAAAGTGGATCGTCCACCATTATAAAACTTGTCCAAGATATTGCTGATATTTACCCATAGTATAAGTTTTATAAAAATCTGGCAAGAATTGTACCTGTGAGAGCGCTAACAAGAACGGACAGACGGACACATGGACGGACGCCAGGTATTTCCATGTCCCCCGCAACGGGTTACACGGGGGACAACAATGAACAACTTTAATTATTTGAGTTATATCAGAGAATTCTGAATTCAACATAATACTTTTGTATAGGAAAAAAACCCTGAAAATTTTTGTTTGTTTATTACCGAACAAGTTTGGCAAAGAAAGTTTGTTCAGAATTGACTAATAGTACTCTCCTACGACCCCTATGCTATGCATTAACAAGAGAAATATTAAAAATTCCCACCTTAGATGCTATCCAGTTCCTTCCATACAGATAAGCATTCCCTACCATTGAGTCCATAGCTTTTTGCATTTCTTCTCCATCTGGCAACCAGCTACAATCATAAAACATGATAAGAATCTAGGAATATTTTTATTATGGCCTCATGAACATTTCATTGTATGTTTACACAAATCTAATTTCCATATGGAATTGTAATTACTTAATTTCCTCATTGTTTTCAAACTTTACTGCTGTGTTCATAAACTATACTGAAATGTTCATGACTTACGAGTATTTTTACTAGTAAGATTTTTTGTGAAATTAGTCTCAGAACCTTTTCATTTTTACAAATGTCTAGAATGAAACTCAAACATCAAACGGTGTATAAGTGAACCAATAAACCTTGGAAAAATTTATTTGATTACCAAATTTATAGCCTCGAAGAATTTCACATTCTTGTTTTTTCTATAAATGCACTTAAGTTTGGGCATATTTTCAAGTAGATAGTGATGGGATATTATAAATTTAAAAAGTTTGTAGTTGGCATATTTTCAAATGGATAGTGATGGAATATTATACATTTTCAATTCAAAAAGTTTGTAGTGAGCATAGTAGCTTAGAATACAATATTGTTATCTACATTTTAATGAAACAACTGACAGAAAAAAACGTCAAATCATACATATAAAATCTGTCATACGTCATTTGCGCTTGCACGTAAGTTTTCATAGCATCCATTGTGAATTGATGCCATGAAAATTGGTGACCTTATCCAATCAAAATGAACGTTACAAATGATGTTGCATTAGAATTGTAGTTGGTATATTTTCAAATGGATAGTGATGGGATATCATCATTTTGAATTGTAGTTGGTATATATTTAAATGGATAGTGATGGGATATTATACATTTTGAATTGTAGTTGGTACATATTTAAATGGATAGTGATGGGATATTATACATTTTGAATTGTAGTTGGTACATATTTAAATGGATAGTGATGGGATATTATACATTTTGAATTGTAGTTGGTACATATTTAAATGGATAGTGATGGGATATTATACATTTTGAATTGTAGTTGGTATATTTTTAAATGGATAGTGATGGGATATTATCATTTTGAATTGTAGTTGGTATATTTTTAAATGGATAGTGATGGGATATGGAAGTTTGTTCTTTATCCACACTTACTGATATGCATTCAATGACATATTATTCCTGTAAGTTATATAATAAGTAAAAATGGTTCTTGCAAAAAAGTCTACTTTTTTTAAAAGGTAAAACAGCATATTATTGAAAGGCTGTGACTTAGATTTCAATTATGATCATTCAACATATATTTCTTTTTTTGTCCCTTTCTGTTCTCTTTTGCATTGATGTTGGAATAAAAACTATAAAAAAATATATTAACAGTCTAGGCTAGGTGTAACTTCTTAACTGTACATGTGACATAACTACAGTGATGTCATAAGGGAGATTTACAAAATTTTAACAAAAAAATGACTATTTTCAGGTATGTTTTGGCTAGAGTAAATGTGTAGACTAAAAAGATTTTGCGAGCAAGTAGATAATCACAAAATACACTTCCCAATCTAAGTATCTTTTTTGAAAAGGGTTATGCTACATACTGCTTCTCTGCATGAAATTCATAGTGTCAAGATTTAGTGTAATTTTGCTGTTTTATGAAACATACTGTCATTTCACAGCTGTCTACACCAAGAAAAAGAAATAGTTTTCAGAAAAATAGCAATTGAGTATATAAATTTGGAAATAATGGGTGCCCTTCAGACCACTTAAACACTCGAAACTCAGACTACATCACAACTGGGCTTGACCATATGTTAATATTACCTTGTAATTTCAGGATGAAGAGTGTTGTTGAATAAATTACTTGTCATTTGTGCAAGGTGCATGCTTTCTTGTTGAACCTTAAAAAAAGATGAGGGTTACATCAATAATTCAGGTTGGAATAAATTATTGCCAAAATCTAGTTGGTTTACAGTATTTATCTAAATTCACCACTCTTTTAAACAATTTTAATAGCATACTACTCTGGCCTTTGTTAGTCTTGTAAGGTTTTTTATTTTAGTTCATTTATATGTTTTGGAGTTTAGTATGACGTCCATTTTCACTGAACTAGTACACATTTTTATTTAGGGGCCATCTGAGGCCTGCCTCCGGGTGCGGGATTTTCTCGCTGGGTTGAAGACCCATTGGTGGCCTTCAACTGTTATCTGTTCTTTGGTCGGGTTGTTGACTCTTAGACATATTCCCCATTTCCATTCTCAATTTTATAACTTATTGGTAACTTACCTGTGCTGCACAGAACACAGTAACTAGAATGGTTCCTACTAACAATAACAGTATAAACAGGATACTAGTAGCTTTATCCAATGATAGTTCCAAAATTCTTATGATCTACAAAAACATGTTTTCTAATATGACACTCTTCTTTGTAAACAAAGCCATGTTTATATTTCAACAAAACATAAGGTACACATGGTTGACATCCCAATTGAATTTTAGAGTAAGTTGTAATTTGAACAACCCTGTTGATCACATACACAAAATTTTGTAACTTGAATATCTGAGTATATATTTCATTGATAAATTTCTTGAAATGATCCAGGAATTTGGCAGGAAAGGATGTAAAAATTATTGTGCTCAGTGTACTATGTTTTTCTTTATATATCAGAGGTAGTGATAAAGTCTGGAAAATTGTCAGCCACATAAGGTTTTTGATTGCATGAATGGAATCTTGACCCCAAAAAGTAAGTCTTTATGCATTTGCACACTTGAAATTGTGAAACACCTTTAAAACCATGTTTGCTTTAAATAGAAAATTACTGCCTTGTGAACATGCCTAATAGATCCACTTTGAACACAAAAATTCTGATTTTTCCTATAAAAATTGAAATATTCATGACAATCATGTTTTTTCTAGATTTAAACACAGGCATTTTTTTCTCTCCATTTTTTTAACTTTACCCGAACAATGCCACCAGTGCAAAAATCATCAATAAAATCCCAATGAAATTTTTTTTTATTATACAACATATCATATGAATAGGACTCAGACATATTATTTACTGAAATGTTCATTAGGAAAAAAGCAACTTTTAAATAGTTTGATCAGAAACTAGCCACATTGTTTTACATTAAAAATAAATTACATTTAGTTTGAATTTATAGAATACATTTATGAAACATCTTTAACAAATTGTAAATCTTGTTCATTTAAGAAGCTTTATTTACCTTAGCATCACCCCTTTTAATCAAAAGGAAAAGTCCACAAATCCATCTAGGTGCCAGAGCATCCTTTCTCTTCTTCAACCATTCCTCTGCTTTTCCTTTCAATAGTTTCACCTTATCTCCCAAGATACCTTCACTACTTAATTGGTATCCTGCAAAAACAAATTCAATACACCCAGTTCAACTATGGCTCTAACAATTTTAACTAGGGGCTCCCAACAGCCTGAATAGCCCATTCTGGCAATATTAGTGTTTTGATATTCATCTTTACCTTTATTGCAATCAGTTATGTTTGCTAATTTGTAGATCTTTTATAGCTGATCATTTTCTACTTTCTCTCTATATTCTAGTTTGAAAAATGCAAAAAATGGTAAAAGCTGTCAGGTAAGGGCAATAACTCCTATTAGGAATCAATTGATGATTTTGTTCAAGTTCATTTATTTATTTGTAGGTCTTGTAAATTTTGTTTCTTACAGTTTCTCTCTGTCTACTATAGATTTCAAGATAATTGCAAAAAATGCATAATTCAGGAAATCATTATTTACAGGCAATTACTTCTTTAAGGAATCAATCAAAAATTTCCTTTATTTGTTAATTTTATCTTTCAGATAGTTTCCTCCTGTTTTACAGTTTCTTTCTATCTATTAAAATTTTGAATATTATTCAATATATTATAGTTTCAATAAAATAGTCAAAAACTTTTTTTTTTTAAACAAGAGTGCACACACTGAAATGTCTGGACTCTTTTACTTATCATTGATTTCATGTTGAAAGTCTGTAACATGAAGACTTTACCTCATAAACTTAACATTATCAATGTTCCATGAAAATGAGGTCATGGTCTAATGAACCATGCCAGACAGACATGTACAATCATGCCATACACCAAATATAGTGGTCCTATTGCTAATAGTACCCAAGAAAGAGATCAAACCACAAAATCTTAACATTAACCAAAGAACCATGAAAATGAGGTCAAGGTCATATGACTCCTGCCAGACAGACATGCACACTTTACAATCATTCCATACACCAAATAAAGTTGACCTATTGATTATAGTATCTGATAAACTTTTCAAGTAGTCACTGAACCATGAAAATGAGGTCAAGGACAATGGACATATGACAGACAGAAACTTCATAACATAAGGCATCTATATACAAAGTAATGAATCATCAAGGTCTTCTACCTTCTGAAATATTAATCTTTCAAGTAATTAGTTAACGCCCAAACAGCCGGATTACTATCCCTATGTCTCGCATTCTGCAACAGAAGTTGTAGGTGAGACAAAAATTGTTCTTTCAGGACATAAACTCCTATAACAAGTTGATTGATAGTCATGTCGACTTATTTGTAGGGTTTTTTTTCTGATCAATTTTGCAGTTTACACTATCTCTGTTTCTATTTATGTTTCCAAGACAGTAACCAAAAAAGGAATTAATATAAATTGTAGTTATTAAGATAATTGACAAAAACGTAAAAATGAAGAAAAAAAAATCATCATTTAATGGCAATAACTATTTTAAGGAGTTGTTCAATTTTTTTTCTTGAGATGAAAAGTAGGCGGATCTTGACATTCAAAGCACTTTTGCCTCAGACTTTTATGGTTGGATTTGTTTCAGTTGTCATGATTGTTTCAGAGTATAAACTAAAACATATATTTTCTAAAAATAAAATCTGTCTCTTTTGAATCTATGTCATCTTCTTGTCATGTAAAATTTACAGCCACATAAATCAGAATATTCTCCAACTAAGTTTGAAATGTTAATTTATAATACCTAAAAATTTGAACAGCCACATAATGAATCCAATGGGTAAAAGTAACTGTAATATCCACATGTTCATCCATAGTCTAGTCAAGATTAACATCCAAAATAATATCAGAAAGTAGTTGTCACTTCCAGAACCTTTTGTCTCCACAGAAACAGAAGGTTTACGTTTGTCTGGTTCCTTGGAAGGTGGTACTTGTTTGGTTGTTACTTCAGATGTCTGAGGTTTGGTTTCTACAGGTTCTGGTATTTCTTTTAAATCTTTTTTCAAAAAAACATTCAGCTTAGATGTTATCTTCTTTTCATACTTTTGTTGTGGTGAGGCAGTGCTAATTAATTTTACTGGTAGACTACTTGGTTTCTTTAATTCTGTTTCTAAGAAAACAATTAAAATTAGTATACTTATGACAACATTGTAAACATTATTAAAAGTAATTCAATTACTAAAATGCAAATCTTTCATCAATATCAAACAACAATAATAATAAATTATTTGTTGAAATATGGATCTGATATTAAGAAGTGTACTTTAAAGTTTGTGTCAAATCTGATGCATTGAATAAGGTTTAATTTAAGGTAACTTATTTTTGTTGTTTTTAGCTCTTGAAAATTTGTGCCAGGTTCCAAATTTTCAAATTCTGATGCCTCAAGCACCACTAAAGAGATGTTATTTGTCAAAATGAATATTCAGTACACCTGACCAAAATTAAAAACTTTCATAGTTTTGTTTTTAAAACTTAGGGTATTGTCAGTTACAATCTATTTTCAGGGTAATGGTTGCTAAGTACATTTACATTTCGGAAGATAATAATGATGATGGATAGCTCAGCATTCAGTGGCATATTAAATGCAAATTCAGGACAAGAACATTTCAATGCAATATGAATGTAAACCCTGTTTCATACTACACAGACACAACGATTCAAACTTTTAACCTGCTAGTTCACAAGGCGACAGGTTGTAGGAAAACGTGTCACCCAACCAGCCACATAATTCTGACTTTGAGCCAACTAATCTTTGCTCTGACTCTTTAAAATAATGATATATGCTTAGAGGGAAAGCAGAAAATACCACTCTTATGTCCTTGGTTTTAAGGGGTTAAACCCACACTCTCCAGCATTCAAGGCAAAAAATGCTATCATGAGACCACTGAGATGGTGAAGAAAAATTTGATTGACAATCAAGGTTTGAAACAGACAACAGTGTATAGTTTCCCATTACATGTTTTAAAGTGATTGCAATTTTTCTTTAAATGATTTGTTTTTAAATATTCCAGGTATATTTGTACAATATCTTCTCTCTTTTTTACGATCACCACCAGCTACATTTTACCTGTTTTATCTTCTGTCTTTTGACTATCACTTTCGGTTACATTTTACCTGTTTTATATTCTGACTGTCACCACCAGCTACATTTTACCTGTATTATCTTCTGACTATCACCATTAACTTCATTTTACCTGTTTTATTTTCTGTCGGTTGACTATCACAACTGGCTACATTTTACCTGTTCACCACCAGCTACATTTTACCTGTTTTATCTTTTGTCTTTTGACTACATTGTACTAGTATCACACCCAGCTACATTTTAACTGTTTTATCATCTGTCATCGGACTATCACCACCAGCTACATTTTACATGTTTTATCTTCTGTCGTTTGACTATCAACTCCAGCTCCATATTACCTGTTTTGTCTTCGGTCTTTAGACTATCACCACCAACTCGTATTACCTGTTTTTTCTTCTGTCTTTCGACTATCACCACCAGCTACATTTTGTTCTGAAGTGGTAGCTAATTCTTCTGATTGTTTCTCTGTATTTAAACTGTCATAGTCACCAGTAATTACAATCCAAGCTGTTTCTACAGGTGATGGAGTCACAAGTTTACCTACAATTGAGTCAGTGAAGGAGTCACAAGTTCACCTACAATTGAGTCAGTGAAGGAGTCACAAGTTTACCTACAATTGAGTCAGTGAAGGAGTCACAAGTTCACCTACAATTTAATCAGTGATAAAGTCACCAGTATTCCTACAATTCAGTCATTGATGGAGAATGGAGATACAAATGCAAGTTAACCTATAATTCAGTCATTGATGGAGATACAAGTTTTGCTATAATTCGGTCAGTAATGGAGTCACAATTCAGGTAGTACTGGATTTAACAATAACTGACTTATAATTTGACAAACTATGCATTATCAAGTCTTATATATTACACTATTAATCATAGTGAAATATTTCTTACATGAATAAATCCTGAGTTCAGCATAGTGATTTTAAAAGTCTTGGCCATGTCTTTCTGATGCAGTAGTATTTTGTCCCTTCTGTTCTACCAATCCATTCACTGAAAATTTGTCCCTTACACCCTGTATCTTATCATTTTGTCCATTCTGTTTACATCCTTGTGTTTCGATCCTTGATGGATACATTTGCAGTTGTCTCACTAGCAATTATATCAAATTTTCTTATATTTACATTGACTACTTTGTAATTAAAAATCAAATCAAAAATGAATATAAAAAATTTACCCTCTATTTGTCTTGGTTTCCTGACTTCTCTAACTTCTGCAACAAAACCTACCATGATGACTATCAACAGAAGAATAAATAGAGGAACTCTCAAAGATCCAGCAACTGTTGCTGTATGAAGAATTAGAACAAACCACACTGGCATAGACAGGTACCTTAAATAACGTTTAGATTCTGGGGACCAAAGAAATCCTACAGCCAGCAAGTATGCCACTACAATAGTCCATACCTGAAAAAATACAGAATTCATTTATTTAAAATCAATCCTCTGATACTTCACTTGAAATGCAATATTAATTGTTTCAGTTTAGTTATTTCTTCCTTTTTAGTTCTTCTAGCTCAGTCATAAAAACAGACATTCATTATGTTTATTATAGAATTAAATGCTGTTTTTTTTTTCCAAATTTATACAAAATGAAAGCAAGTGATCTCCACAATTTCCATGGAGTGTGGAAGTGCATAATGCTAAAATGTGATCATCAATTGCTTTCATTTTGTATAAATTTTTAAAAACACAGCATTTAATTTTTATTTTTTTGTTGTTTTCCTATTTTACATGATCATATGTATGATATATACATTTTGTAAAATAAGGTAACCATTCACTTTTAAGAATGTATTGTGTATTGCGGTCATTATGTCTCTTCAGGGTCCCTTAATTAGAAATAAAGAACTTTGAACTATATTTACAGATGAATCAATGACAACTCGCCCAATTGCCAAATCGCACAAACTTTCTACCAACTCACCCCACTATCTACTCGTGTTAACTTAACAAACTTGCCCCACTAATGTAATGGAGTTTAATCCTGCTGTATCAAGACTTACCAATATTGCCCCACTATTGAAATGAAGTTAAATCCTGCTGACTGAAGATGTACCAACTTGCCCCACTACCAAATGAGTTATGAAAAGGAGTTAAATCCTGCTGCACCTAAGACCTACCAACTGGCCCTACTAACGAAAAGAAGTTATATCCAATTGAATAAAGACCTCCCAACTCACCCCACTAGTTAAAAGAGTTTTACCCAGGCTGTAATAAAGGCATGTCAATTCATAAAATGAGTTAAATCCCGCTGTATTAAGACCTATGTACATACAAACTCACCCTACCAATAAAAAAAGTCATAACCCGGTAAAATAAGGCCTGCCTTTTAGTTACTTAACAATAAAAAATACATCTCCAATTTTATTTTAAGAAATGAAGCATCATTTAATTTTCGATCAGTATTAAATATTAATCTTTCCTTTTTAATCATGTTCATAAACAAGGGTTTTCTTGTCAAGCATTAAATTAGAATTAACTTTAGGGCGATTGTATAGATTAAGCTTCTATTCATTAGTAGGGCAAGTTGGCAGGTCTTTATGCAATGGGATATATGACTACTTTTCATTACTAAGCCGAGTTGGCATGCCTAAATCACCGGAAATTATCTCCTTTTCATTAGTGGGGCAAGTTGTGTAGAAAGTGAAACGAGTAGGTTGAAACTTGGGCAAGTTGTCTTGCTTGCTTTAAAGATCTTCAAAATAAATTATATTTTTCTGTGACATATTTCTATAAACAAGCATTCTGAGAGTATTGCATGGCAATACATAGTCCCCTACCGGATAAAAATTCATTATACTGGAACAAAATGCTAACTTGTTCTATAACTTGTCATGGTGTAAACAAAAATTAAATATCATGTCAATATCTTCAAACATGACTAAAAACAGTGTGGAAAACTGATTATATGCGTGAATTTTTCAAGTCCAAGAACCATAACTCTGCACAAAATTATTAGACCGAAACAAAAATTTGAACTTGATCTGTAACTTGTCATGATATAAATATATATATACCAATTATCAATCAATATCTTATAAGCATGATGAAAAAAACATCAGGTATGATTAATAGTTCTCTAAAATTAGATATGATGTTATACAGTGTATATCTATTTTCAAATTATAATCAAATATAATTAATAGTTCCAAATATTTTTTTCTTATATTTGTCACAAACTAATATAGATTTGTAACTTATCTATAAAATGTCAACAACTTTTATCTACACAATGTAATGTATTGAAATATATACATTAATAAAAATAGATTATTATCTCATTAAAGGATTTCTCTTCATAATTTTTTTTATATATATACATGTACAGCATTCAGAAAATTAGTTTATACTAAATAACAAACAAACCTGCCAAAAAATTCTTCAAATAATTTAACAAAGAATGTCTTTTAAAAAATGAGTTATCTCCCTTTGTACATAAATATGGTTTAACATAGTACTCTAACATTAGATATGGTCCAGAGTTATGGTCCATAACTCTGGACTAAATCATCAGACTAAAACAAAATTCGAACTTGATCTATAACTTGTCATGATTAAACTATATACCAAATATCAAATCAATATCTTCAAGAACGAAGAAAAAAAGTGTGGAAAGCTGATTTGCTGGACTGACGGGTGGACAGACGGACAGAGAGCAAACCTAAAGTCCCCTTCTACTTCGTCGGTAGGGGACTAATAATACGAATTATAGTCATGATAGTCATTTCGTACCCTAACCAATTCATACCCCCCATTTCGTACCCTGACCATTTCGTACCTCATGGAATATTTACATGTATACCATTTCGTACCTCATGGAATATTTATATGTACATAAAATGTATACCATTTCGTACATCATGGAATATTTATATGTATACCATTTCGTACCTCATGGAAGATTTATTAGTGTTTCATTTCTTGGTAAAAACTGGCTCATTGATGTGCGCCATTTCGTACCTTATGGAAGATTTTTATGTATACTATTTCATACATCGTGGAGGATTTATGTGTGTTTTTATTTTTTGGTTAAAACAGTCTCATTGACCTTTTACTGTAAGGCAGTAGAGGTCACGACAAATTCTAAAATTAAAAATTAAAGCACTTATGAGATATTATACAAATAGGAATAAAGTCAATAAACGAAATTTTTTGAAATCCATAAAACTTTGTATTTAAGATATTTACTTCAAATATTAGCTGGCGCTTTAGTAACAGTTCACTTTTCTGCGGATAACACTGATTTTCTTACTTTTGTATACACTTGGCGTATTTATTTAAAAAGGTAGCATTCTTTTTAATTGGATTAAATATGTTTATTGAATACACGTGCCATTTGCAGGGCTGCCAAGTCTCACGCATTTTCATGCTTTTTGGCGGCATTTTCCTTTGATCTATTGTTTTTTCTCTTTGATCTTTACGATTTTGGCCAAATCTCACGCATTTGCATTATTAAAAGTTGGCAGAACTGCATTTGTAATTTCTCAAATTGAAAAAGCCATAGCAAGTTCTTTGATTGGTCACAAAAGGTGCAAATTCTTATTGCACACATTTTTATTCATGGCTTCCTTCATGGTTGAATATCAGCTTGTGTCCCTTTTCACTGCATTTCCTGACGAAAACAACTGGTAATAACTATAAAAACACTTGCAGATAATTATTCCTTTGTTGGTTAATTAACCTCATATTTTTAGAGTTGAAAAATTAATTAAGGATAAATCCTGCAAACAAACAAAGATGAAAGTGTAATTAAAACTATTAAATTTCCAAGTGCTGCTTAATCAAACCAATCATCGGTCCTTAAAACATTTCTACGGCTGGATGCATTTTATTTAAATTATGTTATTTAAAAAAAAAATTAAAATCATCTCAAAATGTTTTATATCATAAAAAATTGATAACTTTTACAAATATATGAGATGAAATAGTAAACATGTATCTAGTCCATGAGGTACGAAATGGTAGATGCATTTGGCCCATCCATGTTAGGTACGATATGGTTTCTATCGTGGCCATGAAATGGTAAATGTTGGGTACAAAATGGCAGAGGTACGAAATGACTTGCTACCAATAATACTGTCAGCATTGAGGCAAAACTTACCCAAAAGGAAGTAAAATATCCCAGTGCTTCGTAAACAAAATATAACATGGACTGTAGAGCACCAAAAATAGCATAAACTGGACCAAAGTGCCATAATAAGTAGGAAGAGAAAACAACCAACAGTCCTCCTCCCAACACATTCAGGTGGTTAACAATCTTACAGTATACGGACTCGTACGCCCGATTTGCTGAGCTGAAGGGTAAAGTTACAATCCCAACAACAAAAAGAGTGCCAGAATTACGAAGACCTGACAACCATTTCTTCAACGAATTTGTTAAAGAGCGCTTGAAAGGGTACAAAAATGTACCACATAGCACCGACCATAATAATGGTCCAAGAAACGGTTCAAGGATGAAATATACTGCAATAGCGGCAGCACCCGCTAAAATAACAAATATGTTAGCTGCTGTTGTATAAATTGCTTGTTTAAATGCCTTATCGTGGCCTTGTGGTAGGTTATCAATGACAGAATTAATAGAAGACCGAAAATTAACAGATGGGGATTCCATCTTTTATTTGCCCATTCGTAGTATCTCGGAATAATAACAATGCATTTTAAGGTAAAGGATAGAGATAACCAGAAATATACGAAAAAGCTTTGGATAAAGGACAGATCTTATTTTGGCAAACTTTTGCTTTTTGATCAAAATATGCACTGGCTACGATTACGATGAAATTGGACATTAATTGCCAGAATGCTAGATTGGTTTAAGAACCGATTAATTACGAACAGGATTCTACACGTACCAATACAGATACAGATACAGATACAGATACAGATACAGAACGTAACAATAATATTTGTGTCTACGGTTACGTTGCGTTATTGTTACGATAGATTTGTTAGACTTGAAATTGACTTTGTTTTGTTGCTGGATTCTCCTATGTGCTTGTTTAGATATGATCCCTATGGCTATGTATTAAATTACAGGGGACCTCAACATCGTTCAAGAACGAGAGGTTATAAACTTTCTGTAAAAAGGACCAAAATATCGTCCATCGTCGAAAATAAATTGGGAAGAGTGTCGTCAGATTATTAAAGGAATCCGGGTCCGTTCGCGCCCAATCACGTTCGCCCTTTCGTTTTAGATGCTCTTTCGTCCTATTGTAAATCAAAGTACCGAAGAACTGAACATCGGATGACCGCAAGTTCTGGTGGGTGGTCTAAGACTAAAAATCATATCTCTATATCTGAAAGTTAGGTTAAGTTACATAGATATATTTTTTTCTGAGACTGGGATTAAAAACAAGATTAAAGTACTATCAAAGCAATTTGTGTTCGTACCGGCCGACAAAGCAGCCAACAATGTGGTGGCGGTATGACGAAAATACTACACGGAAGTCCTTAAGAATGAAATTATACATTCAACTACATTCAAGGCCACAGAGAGTTATATAGTAAATAATCATGTCACTACCTCAGTTCAGCTTAAGGCCTCCTCTGAACATTTGAAGGTCCCCACTATGTATTGGTTACCTAAACTACACAAAAAAAAACACGTAAAATATCGTTTCCACACAATCTTATCAATCAAAAGTTTTCCTATTTAATTAACTGGTCGTTTGATAAATTTGGTTGCAAATTCATTTGCTGCAACTCATATAAAGCCTTTTTCTGTAATGAGAAAGGTAAATATGCTAGATATACTTACTGGAGGGACGATGAGATGATCAAAGCACTAAATTTTCTCCTGACAACATTTTATGTACGTTTCGGCAATAAAACTTATCGACAGGTTGTAGGTATTCAAGCATATGGGCACCAATTGTGCCCCTTTAGTAGCAGACTTGTTCCTTTACAGTTTATGGCTAAACTCAGTAAAGAGATGTCTAAATTCCATTTAATTGATAAATTCAACAACACCGTTATCTTGATGATATTTTTTTCGTTAAATAGTCAAGAGTTCTCTAAATATACTGCTGAAATTTACCCAAAGGAACTTACTTTAAATAAATCAAATATTAACAGCAATAACGGTCCTTTCCTAGATTTAGATATTTCAGTATAACACCAGAAACTCTACACAAAAACTTACGACAAAAAGGGATGATTTTTCTTTGTTACCTATTGTTAATTTTCCCTTTTTGAATGGTGATGTTCCGTTGGCACCGTCTTACGGTGTTTATATATCCCAACTCGTTCGCTATGCTCGTGTCTGTAGTGACGTTTTGGGATTTCAATGAGCGTAATCTATGTATTACTAGTAAATTATTAAGTCAGGGATTTCGTTACCACAAATTACTTAAAACCTTTACTAAATTCTTCCATAGATACAAAGATTTGGTCTGCAAGTTTGGCTGTACCCGTAGAAAACTTATTCCAAACGGAATAGCACATCCAACATTTTACGGTGATGTTGTAAACCGAGCTCGGAAATTTTTATACGATCCAGGTCAACTTATCAATCCTTTAAATAAACTTATTCTAAAAGGTTACCTATTCAACACTGTAATAAAATCTTTGAATATTGTTTTTATTGGTGTCTATATTGATTTTGTTATCAGTAAATCAAAATCATACTAAATATTACACATATGCACTTTCACGATACTACAATCTGTCGATACCTATAGTTTGGCATTGCACAAGGTCATGTTTTTCTCTGACTGTTAATGACGTCTTTACACTAAATCCATTTGATGATGGATGTGTACTGATTGATATTTTAGTCTTAGATACATGATTTCTTTCATTAGTTGTTATTGGCTTTGAACTAGCTGTCAGTAACTGTGAGTACTCTCAGATCTGTACTTGGTGTCTTTTTGTTTTTGGGATGTATAAGTACCCGTCCATGTCCACTCTGTTTTTTTAGATGTATTTCTATTTGTATTCATCTGATGAGTTAAGCCTTTTTCAACTGATTTTTATAGTTTGTTCTTATGTTACATCACTGTCCCAGCTTAGGGGAGGGTTGAGCGCTCACAAACATGTTTAACCCCGCCACATTCTTTATGTGCCTGTACCAAGTCAGGAGCCTGTAGTTCAGTGGTGGTCGTTGGTTCATGTCTGTCGTATTTGTTTTTCGTAAATTGTTTTGTTATGAATTGGGCCGTTAGTTTTCTCAATTGAATTGTTTCATATTTTTCATGTCAGGGCCTTTTATAGCCGACCATACGGTATGGGGTTTTCTCATTGTTGAAGGCCGTACGGTTACCTATAATTGCTTACATCCACTTTATCTGAACTTTGGTGGATAGTTGTCTCATTGGCAATCTTACCACATCTCCTTATTTTTATATAGGTATGCCATGAACACATATCATAGTACATCATCAGTAGACGCCATGATAAGACAGCTAGATTGGCAACAATTAGAAGATAGAAGATCAACGACAAGGATGTGCATGATGTATAAAATCACTAATGGTCTCGTCAATATAGATGCAACATCTAGACTAATTGCAATAAGCCGAGCATAAAGAGTAGCTCGTACTGGAGGCTACCAGGTTTCGCTATGTAGGACTGACATCAGAAAAATGCCATTCTATCCAAAATCCATACGGGAATGGAATGTCTTACCACATTCCACTATCACCGCCTCGAGTCTTGAATGCTTACAAAATAGACAAAAATCGCTGTTTTTAAAGAGCACCTGTATAATATAGGATTTCAATTTTCACAAAACTGTATATATTTTATTTATTATTTGGGACATTGAACATTATACTTCCACTCAAACAGAAGTTCTTTTATTCAATTAAATGGTTCTTTGGAAAATCTGATTGTGAATTTACTTGCTGCAACTCATATGAAGCCTTCTGCAATGATAAAGGGAAATATGCTAGCTATTTCGGTCGGTTTAAAGCTCTCAGATGCGGATCCAGGATTTTGAAAAAGGGAGGGATGGGGCCCCACACTAGGCAACGTTTGGGGTGGTTAAACTCTGTATTAATCATGAACGTTACTCTATAAGGGGGACCCTATGCCCCCCCCCCCCCTAAATCCGTCTCTGACGCTACAGTGCTTATGTTGTATTGTTATATGTATATCCGACTTGACTTTAAATAAATTTTTAATGCTTTATATACTTACTGGAAATGTGATGAGATGATTAAAGCTGTGAATTTTCTCCTCGCCAACATCTATATACGTTTTGGCAATAAAGTTTATCAACATGTTTAAGGCATTCCTATGGGCATCAATTGCGCTCCTTTAATAGCAAACTTGTTTCTCTTTATAGTTACAGTTTGTGGTAAAAGTCAGTAAAGATCCGTCTAATAATAAATTATATTTAATTGGTAAATTTAAAAACACTTACCGTTACCTTGATGATAATGTTGCTTTAAATAATCAAGATTTTTCAGATTTTTAAAGGGAACTTACATTAAATAAATCTAATACAGACAACAATAACTGTCCTTTTCTATATTCAGATATTTCAGTTTCACACAGAAAACGATATTCAAGATTTTTAGGACAAATGAGACAAGTTTTCGTTCCCTATTGTTTATTTTTCCTTTTGGACGATGATGTTCATTTGGTGTTCTTACGGTGTGTATATTTCACAACTTGTTCGTTATGTCCGTGTCTGTATTCGCGTTTTAATGAATGAAATTTATGTAATACTGGTAAATTATTATAAGTCAAGGATTTCATTAACACAAATTAGCTAAAACTTTCACTAAATTCTTTCATAGATTGACAGATTTGGTAAGGAAGTTTGGCTGTAACTGTATTAAAAACGGAACATCACATCATAATTTTACGGTGATGCTATTTATAAAGCCTTTTAATTTAGATACGATATATGTAAACTCATTGATCCTTTGGATAAAATTATTCTTAAAGTTTGTCTATCTAACACCGTAATAAAATCCTTTATTTTTTTATCGGCACTAACACTGATTTTGTTTTTGATAAATTAAAACATTACTAAATTTGTATTGCTTTATATGTACAGCTATGAGTATGCATGATCCTACATCCTGTCGACACTGCATACTTATATTCTTGTATGCACACGGTCATGCGTTTCTCAGACTGTTTATGACTTCTTTACACTAAATTCGTCGGATGTGTACTGATTGATATTTTAGTTTGGTTGATCGTTATTGAATATCTGTCTTACAGAAGACGACATATATATATATATATATATATATATGTTCCAATTGTAACCACAATTCCATCCTCTTTTCTACGAATGTGACCTACCGAATTAAACGTATCGCCGGGTTTGTACTTACATGAGCAACACAACGGGTGTCACATGTGGAGCAGGATCTGCTTACCATTCCAGAGCACCTGAAATCACCCCCGGTTTTTGATAGGGATCGTGTTGCTCAGTCTTTAGTTTTCTATGTTGCTTTTTGTGTACTGTTGTCTGACGTTTGATCCTTTTCTCTTTTGTCATGGCGTCAGTTTATTTTCGACTTATGAGTTTGAATGTCCCTTTGGTATCTTTCGCCTCTCTTTTAGTACTGAGAGTATTCTTATATCGATACTTAGTGTGTATTTTTTTAAGTAGTTGTTTTTGCTTCACACCAATGTATTGAAATAAGTCATTTGCAACTGATTTTTACATTTTTTT